GGCCTGCCGTGTCCCCCCCGGGCTGGGGGGCTGCCGGGGCCGCCAGAGTTTGTGTAGAAGAGGCGGGGACCCTGGCTTCGTCCGCCACGGTTCCTCCGCCGAGACGTGAGGGAAGGGCAGTGGCACTGCCGCAGGCACTTTGCTGCGGTGGCCTCGCTCAGGCCGATAAAGTTTGCTCCTTACTGAGGAAACCGAGGGGGAAGGTTGTTTAGCTGCGCCTCGTGTGAGTGGTTTGTTAAAATATTTAATTTATCTTTTTTTTTTCTTTAACGGCTCTCGGGTTCAGTGAACAGGCAGGGGGCAAAACACCTTGGTCCAAGGGTTGTTGGTGAATGAGGTCTCCCTATCCACGCAGTTCTCAGTTCCGTTTTTCCACCAAATCCCATGCAAACTGTGACCTTGCATCTGCCCTGCTCGAGACCCCAAGCTGCCCCCAAAATTGGTAGTTCAGGGTTTTACAGGTGCGGGGATCAGCTCTAGGTCCCGAGGGCGTGAAGTGTTCTTGGTCAGTATCGGTGCTTCGGGAGCACGATGCCCTTAGCAGCGGCGTAACCCCGAAGTACGCGTAGGCAAAAGACCAGCACCTTGAACAGAATATTTTTGCTTTGTAGTGGGAGTTACCGTGTGTCCGGTGCGATCTGATGTGGGTTGATGGTATTGGTGCGTAAGGAAATCTGAAGTGGTGTGGTGAGGCTCTGGCAAAGCTGTAAAACAGAAGCCACCTTAAAATCACTTGGCAAGAGAAGGGAAACAGTCTTCTGACAAATAAGGGGGCAGAATTTCTGTGAAGAGCTTTTTGCAAATGCAGGAAGGTATCAACACAGTTGTTTGTCAAATTTCTGCACTTCCCTGTGTAGCTCTGAGTCATGCAACAGGCATGTATTATTTTTTTTACTTTCCTGTGCATCAGCTGACTTGAATTAGCCTTTGGAGCCAATGTGCCAAAGCATCTTCTCTTGCCAAAAAGTTCTGAAGTATTTAGTTGAAGTTCTGTATTGTGCATTAGAGCCTGACACTCTTCATCATCTTCCAGTGCATCCACTTTGGCAAAGTCCGCTTACAATTCCGGGGGGCAGCCGACAGTCTCCTATCAATATCCAGTGGAGAGACAGTATTTATGACCCCTTTCTGAAGCCTCTGAAGATCAGCTACGACCCAACAACGTGTCTTCACATCTGGAATAACGGATATTCTTTCCTGGTTGAATTTGATGATTCTACTGATAGATCAAGTAAGCAAAACTCAGAAAAATCTGTGTAATGTATTGTTAATGCTTAGAGAGGAGAAATATTTGCATGCTGTAAAACTTTAGGTTCAATAACCACACAAATGTTGAAAATGAATATACAGTAGAAGAATGCTTTAGCTAAATGCAGCTTTGCAGTGCTAGGAATTGTAATACAGAAGTTCTGTTTAGGCCTCACTTTTACTATGTATTGATTACCGTGGACATTGTGCACAAATCCCCTGTTGTGCATTGAAATTGGGTCTTACTATACAAACCTTCATGTCCTGCCTTTTGGTTAGGTCTCGTAACATCACAGCGTTGTCTACGTGACTCAATCTTCAGTCAAGTGTATGTACTTAAATGAGATTTCATCATTACACTTTATTAATCTGCCACTTACCACCTTTGTGGTGTTAACGTATATTTAACGTGTTTGAAATAATCAGCAGCAAAATGACTTCCAGTTGGAAAGCACACATAGTTATCTCAGTAAGCTTTTGGAGAATTAAAGAATACTGAGCCGCTACCATAGGCGCGAGGTGCGTGTGTTCTGGTTGTCTTAGTATAAGCAAGAGGCCATGCATGTGAAATCCAGTTATACATTCCATTAATTTGTTGTGAATAGGCGCGCTGACCTGAGCAGCTAAATCTTTTTAAAATGCTCAGTAGATATTGCTCCCAAATTCCAGGTTTTGTGCTTTTGAAAGTTGACTTTACCGAAGGATATTGCTGATATGTGTCAAGAAGACGTTTCGTAAAGGTAGGTAGCAATTGGTCAGGGATATTGTGAAGCACATGATTCATGTTGGTTACTCAACTTGTTCTGGAGGGAAAAATTGAGGGACCCTGGACGAGTTTGAACCCGTTTGATTGGAGTCTTTTATGTGTAAGGTGACTGCTTACCATGAGAGACGCTAGAACTTCGAAAGGGATTTAGTAATGCTCTTAGGAAGAGGAAGCTTTCAGCATGCTACTAAACAAGTGCTTTGTCTCTGCGATACCAGTATTTTTAGTTGGTGTTTTGAAAGAGGCTGATAAACAGTGCTGCAGAAATGGTAGTGGGGGAATGCATGGAGCTTTCAGGGGTTTGTGTGACATTTGGGGGTTTTTATTGTTTATAGCTGTTCACCCAGAATATTAGTTTCCAACCAGGGAATATTCTTACGCTTGTTCATTTGAGCGCTGTGATATGTAATGAAGAAACCAAGTAGTGCCCTTCTGTTTTTACAGTACAAACTACTATTGCGTTGGTAAGGTGGGGTTAGAGGAGAGACTAAGACGGAGACAACACTTGTTAGCTCGTCAGTGATTTTAACTTACTAACTTTAGATTGGTTTTGCTTTTAATTTAACAGGCTTTTACTTTATGCAGCTGTACCCCACTATCTGTTGAGGATGCGTTCCTGAAAAGTGTAGTGGTTTGCACTTTGATGGATAACAAAGTAATCTTTTTTTCTGGAAGGATTGGTGTAATGGAGGGGAATTACCTGCAGGAGGTTGAGAAATACACAATATTTCAATATAAGGGACAGTTTTTATGACTTTGAGGCAAGCATGGAATCATCAGGACTGTCTAAAATTAGAGGGATGCTGGCCTTTCGGAGGCTGGCTATTCAGAGTGCATCACAGCTCTGAAAGATCTTATCTGCTTCATCTGTGAGACTGAACACTTGAGGTAAATCTTAAGTGTGAGCATTCTTGCTGCCTCTTTCTGGATGGCTGCCTTCTCATCATCGTCATCTTCCTCAAATGAAGTAAAGTCAATGAAGGCTGAGGGTGTCATTGAACGGTCAGTGACAGGACTCCAAAATGCCAGAGAAACAACAGATCAAGGGATGTTGCTATATAAATGGCCAGGTTTTCAAGTGCCTACTTCCCTCCTCCACCTTTCTGTCTTTAGTGTTGCTATTTCTGATTTTTCTTTCTGCCAACTTCTGTCTAACAATAATAGAAATCCAGAGAAGGCAGCTTATGAATAAACAAAAAAAAAGCACAACAAAATTGAAACAGAAGATGAAAAAGACAAAATGTAACGTGCATCCAGGATAGACAAAAATGCCCAACTCCTGAGATGAGGCAAAACAAGACTCGAGCAAAAGATGCAGGTAGTGCTGCCATGGGTGTTTGCTTATGGGCAGAGCAGGAGGAGGAAGAAGAAAGGGTGTGGGGAAGGTATGTACAGAACGTGGCCTTGTCGCTGTGCATGAATGCCATCTGCTGCAAGGAAATGAGACTGAAACGAACCAGGGCTACAACAAAAAGCTGCTGTGGTTGTTGTTAGAGTTCCTTTAAACTTCTATTTTGTTTTGAAATTATTAGGACTGGTACCTTGAGAGGGAATGAAATGGCAAAAATGCTTGTAGAAGGACTGTAAGTTCCTATTTGTTTCCTGTCACTTTCTAGTGTCCACTGCAGGAACCCCATTTTCTACGTATGTGTGCCTGTGCCCAACTTTACTTGCGAGGCAAACATCCAAGTGAAAGTGATTATTAACGTGAATGTAGTCACTTGTGGGTTTGCTTCATCGCATAATCAGGAATGGAGAGTGTTAGAGTGCAGAAACTTCAATTCTGAAAGGCTTGGCAGTGTGGGCCACATCTTCATCCCATCCCTGAAAGTTACCTTGGTGCATCATATTTTGTTAGTGATAGTCAGTATTGCATTTATGATAAGAGCTCAGCAGCGGCGCATGAAATTATTTAAATGTCAATTTGCATAGCTTGTTTCAACTTTTATCACAAGCAGGCCTATCAGAATTTCAAAACTGCTGGCTGGCTCTCAGGAGAAAAAAAACAAAAAGCCAAGAAAAGCTCTTAATGCCTCTCACTGTTTTCTCCTTAGCTTTAAAGTGATTAACTTACTTTCAAAAGTAGTGTTGGGATTATGTACTTTATACAGTGCTTTGCTATAAAATTTAATCATGACGTACCATTAAGTAAAAATCAGTAAATGGGTCTCTACAGCTACGTGTTTGTTGTTAGCCCTTTGAAAGTAATTATGGTCTCTCATTCACCAGATGCTGTGAGGTAATAACTAGCAAGAAGACTTTGTGGGATATTCCTGGTTCAGTTAGGAGGAAATGAGTAAAAACCAACACTACACAGAAAACTAGACACAGACTTTTTTCATTCATGTATTTGCAAAACGATGAGATACCTTCTGAAATCAGGAGAGAAGACTGCATGTTTACGCTTACTCCTGGTGAAAAAGTGCTTTAAAGCTTCCATAAATTCAGAATCTTACCCATAGGCAGACTGTAGGTTTAGATGCTTTGTGGAGTTTAGCTGGAACAGTTACAGCAGGCACAATGTTAGCATATTTCTGGCTATGCAGGAAGCCTTTCAACTTTGGTTATGCAGTCTGAAAGCTGCGTTGAAGCAGAATAGTATGTTTGGATTTTTGTAGCTTGAAAAAAGGCAGAACTGAATATTTGACACAATGTACTGATTCTACTGGCAAAACTGGGTTTTGAAGTCTTGTATTGTCAAGGGAAATGTAAATATTTTTCATAAATATTGAGGCTTTGCTGGGATGTCATTTAGCAGATGCATCTATTGCTTTGTCATAAGTGTTGCTTCTGGCAAGGCAGTTCTTACATGTCTGCTCAAAGAGAAGAGCATAGAAGGTAACGTGACTCTGCCAAACTTGGATGTGAATTGGGAAAAAACAATAATTCCCTGGAGGGGAGATGGATGAGGAGACTATTTAGCTTATCATCTTCAATTTGATATAGTTCATTCAGACTGTAGGGAAGAAGTGTGATGTGTTCGCCTGAACAATTTTGTCATAGCAAAGTAAACTGTAAAAGTAGCCAAGTGATAGGGGACTGTTTCAGTTAAGATAGCTGCTGATTTCTTCCCTGGACAAATGTATTTCAAGCAAGATCTTGCTGTGTTACTTGTGTGGCTGGGTTCTAAATGATGTTTCTTAATCTGTGTGTTTTGTTTTGTTTTTTAGTAATCGTTGGAGGTCCCTTGGAAAACCAATACAGGCTAAAGCAGTTCCACTTCCATTGGGGAGCTATAAATGAGTGGGGTTCAGAGCACACGGTTGACAGTAAATTTTACCCGGCAGAGGTATGAAATAAAATGCTGAACAATGCAAATACTTATGGGGACTGGAGGCTAGGGTCTGTGACCATACTGTATGTTAGAAAACTCCCTGTGTGAAGGATTGCAGCTTCCTGTTAAGGATCAGACCTGGTAGGTGCCACAGCTCATCTCCTGTTGTTTTAGTAAGTTCATATTCACTGTATTTTCTGGAGAAGAACAGTCTTAGAATTGAACATTGGCCCCATTACTGAAAGTTTCAGTATTGTTTTCTTCTCCCTGAATGTCCCCAGGGGTAGCTGCTGGACAAGCCAATGGCAGGCAGCAAAGTATCATTTGTATTCCAGCCCCGTCTGGATGGAGTGGCACAACTCTGCTTGTCCTTCCCCCTTTTAAAGGGGAAAAGGATGAGACAGAAAGGAGACCAAGGGCACAGTCATGTCTAAATGAATTCCCAGATCCCAGCTAAAGTGGTACAGATCAGGTAGACAGCAAATACTGAGGTAAATATGCAAGCTCAGATCTCAATGAAAAAAATGTAAGTGCTTTACCTCTGAGCTGCAGTAAGCTAAGAGTTCAGGAGGTGTAGGATCTCTTTTCTTGGGGGTACGATGAATGCCCTGCCTCTCAGCTGCTGTCTCTAATGGACCTCCAAATCTTCCAATCCTTACTGCTCTAAAATCACTTTATTATTACTAAACACTTGCAGAGAAGCAAAGCACATACTAAATACTCTTTTTAAAAAAATACTTAAAGAGAAAATGGAAGATTATCTATTTCTCGCACGCATACCTGTAACTCAAGAGGCCTGGTCCTGCTCACCTTGTATACAGTAACTTTCTTGTGTGTGTGACCCCAGAGCCTTGGCTAGTGTTAGAAAGTTTATTCCAGTTATCAGCAATTTTTTGTATGTTTCTTAAAGTCATTAGAATAATGTACAACAGAGTGCTACGGTAATATGGTGGTTATCATGATCACTCTGTTTTTTGTTTACAACTCTTAAGCAATCATTGAAATAGCAAAACTTTTGTGATTAATTTCTAAGGCAGAAAGAGTAAAATAGAATAAAAAGAAAGAATAAAAAGGATGGAGCCAATGGGGAAAAATACAGGTTAAGTTGCTCAGAGAGGAAAGTATGACAGGTATAAACACAGTCGCATGCCAAAGATGGAGAGTTTGAAAAGTGTTTATTGCTTAGTTTTTGAGGAGATGTTTCTCTCCTGTTAAGGTGTTCATAATGATGCCGGGCAGCTTGGCAAGATACATTTGTTAACAGCAAGAGAGTATGACTGAGTTTTGGGGCTGGTGCTGGCTATCTGTTCAATATGCAGAACCCCACAATGGAATGCTTGTATTGGACTGTAAGCAATGCTGTGGAAACTTACGTGCAGGAAGATGTCCCTGAGCAGAATAGCATGCTCTGCTCTGCCTGTTAAGAGATGGAAGAGTCGTTCAGTCCAGATACACTAAGCTTTTTTTGTGCCTTTAACTAGCATTCCTGTAATCAGTCTCCCACAGACAAGATCCCGTTCATGTCTGTGAAATGTAGATTATGGGTCTTTGGCTATTGGCTTATTGGTATTTGGCTATTTAAAAAAAGGCAAAAAATGAAGGGAAGTACCATTATTTTCCAATAACATTTTGGTCCTCATTTCTGTCGTGTGTGATTTCTGACGTGGCTCACTGCAGTGTCTGAAGTTGCCAAGGACCAAATGTGGCAAAGTCAAGTTTCTTGATATCATTGCTGTGCTCTGTGCATGTGTTCATTTCTCATTCATCTATATTTCAGTTGCATTTAGTACACTGGAATGCCGTTGTGTACCCAACTTTTGAAGAAGCTGTAATGGAAGGTAACGGTTTGGCTGTTATTGGAGTCTTTTTGAAGGTAATTTCCCTTTGTGTAATAAGCTGCTGCCTTTTTATTTTCATTTTGTTAAAACTGATTTAGGACAAAATACCTCTAGATTTTTGTTGCGGTTTTCAAAAAATACTGATGAATATAGATGTGTAGAATGTCAGCGGAATGATTCTCTAACTCCTACCTGTCTTCTGCAGCTAGGAGCACATCATGAAGGGCTGCAGACACTGGTTGATGCCTTGCCAGCAGTTAAACATAAGGTAGGTATTTTTGTGTCCCACGGGTTATCACTCAGGATAGCTAATGCAATCATTTAGCATAAAGAATGACATTCAGCATGAGAATAGCAAAACACTAATAAATGCTTTCTTCCTTAAATGTCAGTAGGGGGCCTAACTGACACCTTGGGTGGACTGTTGATTATACTGGAGGGGAGGCAAAGCTAATTTTTAAGGAGGACTTGTATACTTTAAGCTTTCCAAACCTCTTGGTTTAAGAAATGGTGCTCTTGAGATTGTATCCCCTCAGAAGGGCAGGCGCGTGTTGGATTGTTGCCCTCGCTGAAGCCTGCCCTTCTGTGAAAAGAGATGCCACTGGATTAGTTTTCGTATGTTGTTTAACTGGAATGAACTTCCTGTGCTGTGTAAAACGGTAGTTTATTTCTTACAGAATTAAGGCTTTCTGATTTTTGTCTGATCTTTGAGCAGGAGAATATTTTCTGCTTTTCTTTTAACACTGTAAATTTTCTGCTAGGGGAATGGGACTTTCTTCATAGCTGGTTTCTGACTTCTGCCAGGAGAGGGAGCGCTGCGCCTGTGGTACTGCTCAGAAGCAGCTCATGCTCCTCCCGGTGCCGGAGCCTTTTTGAAAGTACACACAAAAAAACAGCCATCAGGATTTTTTCTGGCTTGTAAGCACATCCAGTTGAAGTTGCTGTGCCATTATTTATCGCAGTAAGGAATTTTTTTACCCCAATAAAACAAATATTTATGGCTGTGCAGTGAAAATTCTGCCAGATAAATGCCCAACAAGTCCATTCGGTGCCAAAAAGACCTACAAAAAAAAAAAATCTGTGAGTGCACATCCGTTATGAGAATATAATTTACAGCATATGAATTTGTAAGAAACTAAAGATATTTAAAAAAAAGGCAGTATCAAACATTGGGCTCATCAAGCTGCATGTGGTCTGCTCTGAAAGAGGTCTCATTTCCAGAGAGTGTCGGTCACCCAGCAACTCATCAGGACTTGGTTTAAAACCTGCCAGCGTTGTCGCTGACTTAAGCACCAAGCCCTGAGGCACATCATCCTGGTGAGGAGGAGGAGGAGGAAGTTCAGATAATACCTGTTCTGATGTCCTTGCACCTTCCTCTCTCACATGATGGGTCAAAGCTCTCACCTAGAATCTGTTGTCCAGGCCCGTATTTTTGAAAAATTCTTTACTGTAACATTTCTCATTCTCAGTGGGGAACTGCTAAAGCCTATCTAAGGAAAAACAGGATCTTCCTTTCCTGCATTGCCAGTATATCCTGGAAATACCCCAGGAATAAATTGCTTGTGTAGGAAATAACGGGCTCTGAAGCTCCTACGTGGTGTCTGATATCTCACTTGTGGGAGTGCATGTTCTGGGGACATGAATACTTGATGCAATTGAAATAAAATTTTAGTCCTCTTCCTTTTCCCCGCTGCCTAGAATCACACAGTGAAAAGTAAAAGCACTATTGTTTGCAGTCTATTAAGTATATCTGGCAGAACTATCTGAACTTATTCCACCATTTACTCTTTCTTTTTCCTCTTTGCTTCTAGCTGCCACAAAGATGTAGTCAGTTCTTCCTTCACACTCCTTGTTTCTTCTGCACTGAATTCCTAATGGCTTGTGGGGACAACAGAAATATTTAAATTTTGTCTACTCACTAGCTGCTTCTTATGCCTCAAACCCAGCTTACCAATTTTGTACAAGTTTATGGAGTTTTAAATTATTATTTTATGTAGATCATTGTTAATATTCACAATACCTAATTTTTCATATGCATACATAACATGTATACTGTTTAATCTCATTGTTAAGATCTTTTTAATGCTTCTGTCTTTTTTCCTCAAAATACAAGTGTTAAAAATAAATTCTTTCTGGTGTTTAGGACACTGTTATTGAGTTTGATGTCTTTGATCCCTCCTGTTTGATACCTTCATGCCCCGATTATTGGACCTACGCAGGCTCTTTGACTACTCCCCCACTTACCGAATCAGTCACATGGATTATTAAGAAGAAGCCAATAGAGGTTGATGAGAATCAGGTAAATCTCATGCTTATGTTTCAAATCATACCATACCTGTTTGACTGCCTGCTGCCCTGGACGGGAAGATGCACAGAAGCAGTTGCTTGCCGGTGCCAGTAATTCTCTGTGAATACACAGGGATCAGTGGCTGCTTCACACACAGTATTTGCATGGGGAGGTATCCTGACGTTAACAACAGCTAATATTGAAAGACTTGAGACCTCTTCAGTAAACAGCTGAAGATCCTTCTCCAGCTCTGTTGTGATCTGTGGTAAACAATGCCTTATACTGGGAGCTGCCCCTTTGAAACTTCTAAGGCTGTTTATTGGAATGCTTGCTCTCCTTGCCAGGATGCAGCCCTTTTTGTGGTAGGGAGGGAGGAGAAAGGGCAGGTTTTGTTAAATTCCAGACACTGACCTTTTGTGCGTGTTCTTGATAGCCCCCTTGGGCGGGCTTTGAAGATACCGAAGGAATGGTGGGTGGCTCCGAGTCCTTCACATGCCATTGTGATGGCAAGAGATAGAGTAAGTCCCCACTTGGTTTGCTCCTTTGCCTTTGTAGGCGTGTTACTCTATATTTGGCTGTACTGTCCTTGAATTCCTTTTTTTTTAATTCCCCTTTAGAAAGGACAGACAAACGAAGGTTTCAGCAAATGTTTGTATTACAGAAGTTACTTCAAGTGGAGGAGTTCGTGGTTGATAGTCTGTTCTGACACCAACCCAGACTTCTCACCATATGCCCTCTACTGCTTTCAGTTTTAGTACTTCATGCTTCAATGTGGTGTTATTCCTTGGTAGATGTGGGGTCAAGCAGGAAATGGTCAGGACTCTTAATTGGAGTTGTGCTACAATCGTGTGTTTTGTTGGAAGTTTTCAGGATTTTTTTGTCCGTTTAAAGAAGTGGAGTACTTTGAGTGGCATTACAGTATAGAACAAGTCTTGGAGATTGTTGCAAAGCAAGTGAAAATGAACAGCCTCAAAAAAACTACCATTTTTTCATGGTTTAAGAGGCACTGAAAGTTTGCATTGTCCCTGTTCTTTGAGGGTTTGATTAATAATGAAGTGTCAGTCCAGCAACATGAGGCAAAATACTGATTTTTTTTTTTTAATTTTTATTTTTTAATGCAACTTTTGCATGGAGCTAGTCCACCTAGAAAGTCATGCTCCAAACAAACACTGACTCTGAAGAATAGGCATGTATGTGATCTTAGTGGTTTAGTTTGCACAAAGGAACAGAACGGGAAGAACTGAAGACTGTTAACAAAGCAGAGAGAGCTGAGTGCGTAGTGTGTCATTCTTCTTTTCAATTGAAACTTTTTTTCTTTTTTTATCCCTTGGCTCTTCTTCACTCTCATTGTTTTATGGCATAGAAAGGCTCAAAGTTTACTTAACATTGCAGTGCCCTTGTGAGCATTAAAAGCTGATCTGCTGCGTACTTTATTTTAATCCCCAGTAATAAACCACTGATAACAACTATCAGTTGTAACAACTATCAACTAGATTGTTGTTTGAGGTGCCCTCTTTTCTGGGTGCCAGCATATGCACGTCTGTGTAAGATAACAGAACTCCAGGAAGGGTGTAAATTAAGAAGGCTGGAGAGGTTTGCTGAAAGATAACATATGTTCCAGTGTTTGAATGGGAATCCGTTCCGTCCCAGACAGGCCACATTTGAGAATCAGTTTGCCTAAAGATGGCAGATGACTGACAATTCATCTTCTGCATTGATACGGACAATGGCGTAATCTTTACCAGCAGGTGACAAAGAAGTGGCAGAAGTTTGTGCTAAGATTTCTCAGAATGCAAATGTAACAGTACCTTTGATTTCCACCCCCCACCAAGCATGAATGATTGTGTTTTGTCGTGAACTCCAATAACTCTCTAGTTAGTAACATCACAAAATTGGACATTTCTCTTTCTCAGCTGGAGTCATTTCGGATGCTGCTCTTTACTTCAGATGGTGAAGAAGAAAGGAGAATGGTAGACAACTTTCGCCCTCTTCAGCCGTTAATGGATCGAACCGTCCGTTCGTCCTTCCAAAGCAGGCATGTCTTGAATGCAGAACTACAGCCCGAGGACCGTGCTGAGCAGATCAGGCCGTAGATGGTACATGAAATGTCAGTCCAGACTGCAATACCAGGATGAAACTGATGTTATTTTTTAATTATTTTTCCTTTTTCTGCAGTGTATGTATACCAGGCAGTTTCAGTTCTGCTAAGTGCCATTTGACTTTTCAGTAGAGAAACTGTGGGGCTTTTTAGTTTTGCTGTTTTTGAGAAGTAAACAATATTAACCCTTAACAAATTGACTTGCTTTAAAGCAGGGATCAATAGGGAATTATTCTGACAGTTAAAGGAAAAATTAGGGCAGGAGATCTCTTCCCCTGCCTCTCTTCTGAGCTGTCCTGTGTCTCTTTAAATGCTCTTTCAGTGGCTCGCATGAATTTATAATTCCAACTGAAAAGCATTAGCAAGCAGGAAGTGTGAAGAAAAAATATCAATACTGATCAGGTCCTTTTGTGGAATTGTTCCAGAGGTTTGGGAAGTGAACGAGCTTCCCTAGTCACATATACAGAGACATTTTATCTTCTTCCTTTTTCCTTGGTGGTTAGGATGACAAGAGGAGAAGGAAAAAAAAAAAGACTTACAGAATCTAAACTGTTTACATGCTGTTGGCTGCATGATCCATGTTTTACAGGGATGCCACAGAATGTCTACTCTACCTACACCACAACCCAGAAGACTTTTTCTGAAACCTTACAACAAACGTTAGAAGCTTTTAGCTTTGGCAGCTTTTACTTTTCTGTGTGAACAATGTGCCAGGAGAAGAGAGCAGAAGAGAATTTGCCAGTATCTCAAGGTTGGCAAGAGCAGCAAATTAGGTGAAAATGTCCATTTGATCCCAGGAGACTGATCCCATCAAAGGGAAGCAAAATCAAATAAGCCCCAGGTGACCCTCCCAGTGGGATCTGGGGGGAATAAAAACCCAGCCAAACCGATTTCTGAAACCTAATCCAGTGCTAGGAGAGTATGCACAAAATGCAGCGTTCAGATACTTGAAGGATTTTTTTTTTTTCTCAGTAACTCATAGAGCACCAGTGCACTCTCTTCAGAATTTTGTCTTAAGATGTAGTTTTCTTATAAAAGGAGTTACCTAGCTTCAGGATGACCAGATTGTATTTATAGCACCTTACAGTAAGAAAGTTACGTGGTGGTTGAAATTTATTTGTGGACCAGACAAAACTGTTGTGTAAGCTGCCAGCTGTGGAGCCTTATCCTAGAGTTACGGTCCAGTTGCCACAAGTGTTACCTACCTCTGAAGCATACTATTGCTAGCTATCATTTTCTCTTGAGCACCTTGCTCACTGGCTTTTTATGCTTTGTTGTATTTAACGGTGTGCCTGTGCATGGAATTCATGTACCAAGTGTATGGTCAGGTTTTCTGAGGAGGAGCAGGTCGGTCTGTAGACTCATGGTGTGATCTTGATTGGTTGTATTTGAGGAGTCTTCTTGGAGAACAGATGCTACTTTGTCTGCTTCTACCAGTAAGCACAGTCCCTGGTTGCTGGTGTGATTCAGTACAAATGATGCCAGGACACTAGCTTGTCAATGCGAAATTCAGAACTTTAGAATCGATAGCTTTTTTTTGAAGTCCAAGTGTTCAGTTTAAAAGCACTTTAACACTTTTAAGTGTGACCCTGATGATTTTAAGGCTTTTTGATATTCTTGTTTAACCAATTAAGTGCCCAGGTCCTGCCTTTGTTTATTTAATAGCTCTACCTCAGGCTGTTGTAATGCTGCAACAGTTGTGCCTTTCTGCCTTGGCAGTTTGAAATGTGCCTGCGTAACCCTACCGTGATTCTTCTACATGGTCAGTGTAAGAAAATGTCTCTTCTCTCCCAGTGTAGTATACTTTACTGTGTAGTATATTCAACACAGCAGTGTATGTATTTTCAGTTCTATTACCTCTCCCAAGTCCTTACTGCTTGGTTGAACTTCACTATCTTGGTTGAACTATGCAATCTCTATCAACTTGGCTGAACTAGACCATCTCAGCTGCACTCTACAGTGTTTGGCATCGTCAGCCAGACTTTTTTTACTATGTTTCTGGTCTGCAGAACTGCGTCAGTGGTGTTTTTGCCGGAGATGGCAGGTTCCACAATAATTTTGGAAGGGATATCTGCAGTTCTGGCAGTAGGAAGAGTCCTTTTACTTTCTGCTTGAATGTACATGATCTAGTCATTGTTAAGCTTGAAGGTTTTCGTTCAGTGCTTCTGCACACACTTTTCTGAGCAGGACCCTGTAGAAAGATGGCAGTGATTCAGAATTGGCATATATCTTGTCTGTCTTTGAGATTTTTGCCACTCACTATGAGCAGTTACTGTAATATAAAGACACCTTAATGTTGCCTTCACATTGAAAAACACAGATGACTCAGCAGCACTCGGCTAGCTATAGGTAGCCTGCATCAATATTCCTATCATATATGAATGGGTCTTTTGAAGAGCTTCATGCAATTGCTTGAAGTTTTGTGGTTGCCTTGGTAACTTTCACCAAGTTTTTGTGTACCTCTGATCCATTGAGCTTGTTTCCGTAGTTAAAAGAGCTTTCCTAGAATACGCAAATACGAAATACATATTTTGTTCTTGGAGAACTACGGTGGTGTAAATGTTTAATCTTCAGATGCTTCATAATGCCATAGTATGCTCACACCCAGCTGAGCTCTCGGTGGGTAGGTTTGCTCCACTGAACGAAATTTTCTTCCTAGGTGTGTAAATCCCTTTTTGACATGCTCACCACCATGCATCCATCAGAGATAATGTTGAATATTCTATTTTCAGTGATCTACTTAAAATTCTGACAGGGATTTGCTTACTTTGTTAAAGTATTGCAATGGAAGTTTTGTTAGAGAATAGGTGTATTATGCAGTCGTACAGTTAATAAGCTATACTCCATACGTGTTTAGATAAAATCACATCCAAGTGTATAGACATAAAATTAATCAGTTTCAATTTCAGCATCAATTGTTTCAAATATCTGGAAACAGGGTCAGCACAGAAAAAAATGACTACTGTGCTACAAAAATAACTTTACAGGGATTTTCTGTTACAGTTATTTTGATGTTTTTTTTTTAGTCTTGCATTTATATGTTAGTGTTTTAGCATCTCTGGTTAAGGTAGGCAGTATCTCTGTTACAGGGTGGATTGTTGTTGAAATTAACAGTCTGGAAAGGAACAGAAAGGGGTTTTTTGTTGGTTTTGTTTGTTTTTTTAACTTTTATGTTACAATGACTGTATTGGCCTTGCGAAAGCTAACTTCAAGAAGTAGAATTCTGGGTGCCTGCACGTGCTTGTAAAACAGCAGATTGCATGTAATTCTTTTGCCTTACTCTCTCAGTTGGATGAAGGGGGAAAATTACTTGATTGTTGGACTAGAGCTAATATTTGTATTGATTTTGCACATCTAAGTTAAACTCTGTTTGAAAGGTGTCTGCATAGGAATCTTTAGGTGGTTCTTTTAGATGGTACAATGCAAAAGGATCAAAGCACACATATTTACTTGTCCTTGCATAGTAATTACTTCTGTTACTTAATACTGA